AAATCAATAAATTAAAGAAAATAACAATTACTCTCAATCGACGGTAATTTGATTTCGAAAATTAGAAATATTGCACTATATAGATAAAAATAAATGAAATTGAAAATCGATATAGACATAAATGAATGAGATTGAAAATCGAGACACGTAAAAGAGGATAAGGAAGTAGCTGTTATGAAACTAATGAAAATATAAACAACTACAAGAGAAGATTAGAGAGGGAAAGACACAAGAGAAAAGAGGGGAAGGGTTCTTCTTATTCATTCTTCACTTTTGAATTTTGATACAATGGTGTGCTATATTTATAGGTACACTTTGGTAACCACTACATCAATGCATATGAATGAGAGATAATGATGTAGAAATAGGGGTTACATGTAACTTCCAAGTGAGCATCTAATGTGGTAGGTCATTGGTCATCCATATATCAATATTTACATAATACTCCCCCTTGGATGACCACTAGATTGCATTATGCTATCTCATACTGCCTCGTTAAAAACCTTACCAGGAAAACCCATTGGGAAAAAATCATGGTTAAGGGAAAAAGAGTGCAGTGCGTATATGCTCCCCCTCATGACCACATCACTTCAGATTATTGAGTCGTTGAACTCAAATTTCACGAACAACTTTTAGAAAGATTGTTGTCGGGAGTGAGTTAGTGAACAATCTTCTAGATTGTCAATTTGATGTATGATCTTTAGATTTTCTTCATACATGATCGTCATGATCATTTCCTTTAGAGTATCCAACAAGGATATCCAACATTGACCATTCTAATTACAGCTCCTTTTCTTCATGCGCTCTTTCATAAACATTTTTTTTATAATAGAGTATCCAACAAGGATATCAAATTTAGTTGGAGCATTCACAGCTAGTATATATGACTTGGACACTTTGTATGGTCAGTAAAGACATTTGATAGTTGGTAATGATAATTCATCTTATGAACTTCAGATTCATGTTTCTTAATTTGAAGATCAATACTAGATATAATGATAACTCATTCCAACTCATCTTTTTGTCTAGCTGTTTTTTTTTCTCCCCCTTAATGTTGGAAAAGTAATCCATCAAAACAATAATTTCGCAAACAAATTTCCCATTTGGGATTCATACCCAACACAAATTCTCAATTTCCAACGAGAATCAACTTAAGATACCGTGGTGGAGCAATTGGGATGTATGCGGCACACCCTAGTATTCTCATATGAGAAATGTTAGGTTTCTTACAAAAACCATTTGTAAAAGGGGGGAACTTATGATAACTTGTTGGTTAGATGTGAACCAATACTATCACTTGTCAGCTAGCATGTCCTCGACAAGAGACCAGAAGGCTCAGTTTGTTCTCTTAAGCAAAGTGATGTTTGCTGGATAACCATCAAAATGTATCCATAGTGAGACAACCAATCTCGCAAACATCGGGTTGCGATTAGATAAAATACATTTGATGCAGCAACCCATAAAATATACAAATGATCCACATGGCTGATGTATTGTTCTGCATACACGTCCATAAAATCTCAAGAGATTTGTCAACTCTTATACAAGCGATGATCAATTGTTCTATTCTCCTTGAGAACAAACATGACATAATAACTCTTTTAGTTGAAGAGTTCTTTGACTTCCCATATGATGTTCTCGTGAATTCTCAAAGAACTTTTTTTTTTCACATCAAGATCCAAGATGGTCTAACCGGACCAACCAATTATCAAGTTATCAAATCTTGTAAGCTTCTGGTTTACACTTTTATGTGTACTGATAGTACTAATATAGTACATATTTGTGATGCAAATATTAGTTTTACTATTTTCTTGATAAGATATTCATTTTATGAATATCCTTTTAATTGGGTAATGCATTATCACTAGGTAGTTTGGTTCCTTCAGGCCACAAAATTAGCTCCCTTTAAAGCTTTATCATATTTTGTACCATATTCCACCCTTCCGGGGACTTATGATTTGATGCATTCTTAGTAAACACAAATTCATAGTGAATATCATCACAAATTGTTATCACGAGTATATAATTTAGTTACTTCAAGCAATCAAACATAAGCTCTTCGGAAGCTTTTTCTGATTTATGTACTCTACCATATAGTTTATATGGAATTTTTCTAACAATCATACTTTACAAAAACATACTAAAAGTAATAAATGAGAATATTTCAAACTTAAGATGAAAATGATGAATTTATAAAGTTAATTGTTCTAGATAAATGTTATCAAATTAAAGTATGCATGAAAATAGCGTCACAATAAAACATAAAAGAAATAAGAATCATAATACCACAATTCTGAAAAATAAATAAGATTTATTTGGAACAATACCATCACTAACTAGGTGATTTTAAATTTATATATGCGTTTTATTATACATTATAATGTACAACAGGTACATTATGTTATCATGACTTTGATAATGCAATTGTGGTGTCATCCTTATTTATAGTTCTCCTTTTACTCCTCTTTTCTCACTTCTAGTGAAAAGATCCAAACAATATATTTACCATATATATAATTATGTTTATAGTTTCATTCACTTCAGGGAATAGATTGTTTCATTCACTTCTGGGAATGAAAATGTCTCAAGTGCAATATCATTTTCATCTTTAATGGAGAATATACCAACTTATATTACAAAAAATATATTCCATAATATTGATATTGCATGAGCATATTTGAATTTGCTCTTCTCTTTGATTCTTGGTAGAATAAAGTCTTTTGCGTACAACGGGTACGAGACAAACTCACTTTTCCATTACAATGGTAACATACAAAACCAATATTCTTATTACCATGTTCTTTTCTTTCTTTGCCCTTGAATTCTTCAATTTCCACTTCTGGGGAATATATGAGCTCTTGGAACTTGCATTTTCCACATATCAATGTATGATGGATAAGAATAGGATAACACTGAGAACTGAGAAATTAACTCATCACTTATATTACTTTTCTTGTTAATCCAAATAGATTGACGTGATAAAATATCAATGGATACAAGAAAAGAGTAGCACACATCTTGATATATTGGAATGAGATAATCTCAACACAAATAAGACAATAAGATAAAAAAGGATATAAGATTTACATACCTTGATCATATTGTGATCTTACTTCAATATCTTAGATATTGTGATCTTAGCAATGATAATTTTGGCAGAGCTTCGTGCTGATAACGTGTTATGAAACTAATGAAAATATAAACAACTACAAGAGAAGATTAGAGAGGGAAAGACACAAGAGAAGAGAGAGGAAGAGTTCTTCTTATTCATTCTTCACTTTTGATACAATGGTGTGCTATATTTATAGGCACACTTTGGTAACCACTACATCAATGCATATGAATGAGAGATAATGATGTAGAAATAGGGGGTTACATGTAACTCCCAAGTGAGCATCTAATGTGGTAGGTCATTGATCATCCATATATCAATATTTACATAATACTCCCCCTTGGATGACCACTAGATTGCATTATGCTATCTCATACTGCCTCATTAAAAACCTTACCAGGAAAACCCATTGGGAAAAAACCATGGTTAAGGGAAAAAGAGTGCAGTGTGTATATGCTCCCCCTCATGACCACATCACTTCAGATTATTGAGTCGTTGACCTCAAATTTCACGAATAACTTTTAGAAAGATTGTTGTCGGGAGTGAGTTAGTGAATAATCTTCTAGATTGTCAATTTGATGTATGATTTTTAAATTTTCTTCATACATGATCGTCAGGATCATTTCCTTTAGAAATAGTTTACAACTTATTTCTAATCTTTTATGTCAAGATCGAATTTTGCAGGTTGTACATTGGATTGGATGCCTATAAATTTCATCCATGACCCAACTCACTAACCAGTCCATCCAATAAATTTTGTGGGCTAGTTGTGCCTTTAGGTTTCATCCATGACCCACAAGAGGCCATCCTACCTTCCAAATGAAGGGATGTGTCCAAATTTGCTTTGCCACCGACTTTTCATTTGTTTGTTGATGACGAAAATCAGCAAGTTTTTTTTTGTCTCGTTGTCTCGTTGTAAGGGTGAGAATGGACAGAAAGATAGAAAAATGGAAACACATGGATTTTATTTGGATTATAATGGATCATCAAATATCAGTGAAATTTTGATAGATTTGATGAATCCGTCCATCCACATTAAGAGATTTTCATGATCCATCATAATAAAAAAATCTGGGTCACCAATTAATATTTAAATTTTAGCAATTCCTACCCATCAAAACCGTTGACTAGTCATCAATTTATGTTGCAGTTTACTTGATTCAGAATTATGCAAATTAGTTCGTTACGTAGGCAGTGATAATAGACCCGACAAATTCATGAAATAAAAACGCATAACAGGGTCTAGTGATTCATCATGAAGCTGCTTCGATTCAAGACTCAACACGGGCAAAGAAGATGTTCATAAACTAAGAACAATGATTATGATGGTTATCTTAAAGTTACATTTGGACTTTGGATTGAAGTTGGTCTAACAAGAGTAAATGTTGTCATATATGAAACCCAAAAAAAGAATAGGTTGCTTCTAGTTCACTAAATTATGCCACATATATAAGGGGGAAATGAATATTTAAGAAAGAGGTACGAGACCAATGGATTGGACCATCAGTCCATCATAAAAGTCTACCTCCAACGTTCTCTTACATTCCATACAAGTAGGGTGATATCCAGTCAGTTGATTTGTGAATAAACTATTAACCAATTACAAGGTAGCAATGTGATTATCGATAACCTCAAATAACTTCTAGTGTAAGCAGTAACCGAATAGTTGATCATCGATTAAATAAAAACCGACCATGCATAACTATTTTTGTTTATATCCTCAAAAAGACTATGTTCATTTCCCAAGAAAACACTTGACTTCGAACAAACAATTAACCATGTGAACTATGTTTCATCACTACACATGTATAAACACAGATATCAAATCAAAACTTTTAACATAGTGAATAACTGAATATACATAGTTAGTTAGTTACGATATAATATTTTATAAATACATCCTAGTTTGACTAACCAGTTTAAGTATGTAACAGTTTTGGCAGTCATATATGTAAATATATATCCTACTCGCACAAATTTTACACACCATAGCATAAAATCAGCTGATCTAAGAGTACTTCTTTCTACTGGCTGATCATAATATAACCCTTGCACACTGAAAATGTTCAATTTCTTTCCCATCCTTATCATCATCTGGGTTAAGAATGCATGTAGCAATCAATTCATTTCATAGTGAACTAATGAATTCATCAATACCCCATAGAGAATTGGCGTTCGTATCTTCTCTTCAAGAACTTGCCTACATCCGAAAAGCTCCTGAACCCGTTGCCGTTGTTATGGTAATTACCATTATTCTTCTCGCCGTAGTACTCCTTGTTCTTCTTGGGAGAAGTGGTCATCATCATCATCTTGTCGCAAAATCCGCCAACAAGCCCTTGCTGATCGGACGGCTTCCGATCGTCGTGATCACCACCGACGTCCAAAAGGGAGCCCTTTTCCTGAACTGTGTCGCCGCAGCAATCCCAGCGGTGGCTCCGCAATCGCAGAGTCTTCTTGATCACCGGATGATCATTACCATTATGAGTATCTTCACGACTTTCATTGTTGATGTTTTTATTGTTAACGTTGTCATCGGGTAATTCGACCGCTGCGGCGTCGTCGTCTAGATCGTTGGTGGTGAGGGCGAGGTTCTCGAGGCGGCAGATGTCCTCGAAGGTGGAGCCCGCGGTGGTGAAGGAGGCGTTGGAGACCGCGGAGGACGGCGTGGCCGCGGAAGACGTCGGAGAGGCGGCGGCGGAAGAAGGAGTGGAGCTGCCGAAGCCTTGGATTTCCTTGGAGATCTTGAGGGCTTTGAGGCGTGCTTCTCTCAGGGCGGTCCCGCCGCCACGGAGCAGGGCGAGGATGCTGGCGGATCTCTTGTGCATTTTGGCTCCCCAGTCGAACCTGTACGTGACGTGACATTCATAGTTTTACGTATGATTCATGATTCTGAAGAACTTAGTAGCGGCATGGAAAGAAGTTGATTTACCCTTTGTCGTCAATGAATTGGAATGTGCCAAGGTCTTCAATGATGTCGATGTCGTTGTGGAATTCTTCGGCGAGTTCCTCAGGACCATGGGTCATTAGGAACTCGAGAAGGACCAACGTCTTGTAGGATTGCCTCCATTGCTTCCAATCTACCGTATCCAGCCTGCAGATTCATGTGTACGTACACGTTCGTTCCCGGTTGGTGATACATATAAGATCAATGAAACCAACTGATTCTGCATACTAGTGGTTTTCTTTTTCCAAAATACTATTACTTACACTAAAAATTCACACAACACAATACTTATACTACAATTTTCCAAAATACTAGAGTTTATTTGGTTCGCTGTAGTGTCAAGTGATCTAGATGGTGTTCGCAGGACAACTGGGCGATCTACCCAAAATATCAACAAACCTAAGCAAACTAAGCCCAGACCGAGGCATACAGGAGCCATCCACCAGATCACTGATGAGCTCAGTGATCTTGCCTCAAACATCTTTAAACAAATCAGCGATCTCTACACCTAACATATGTGGAAACTTTCCCTAAAAAAAAAAACATATGTGGAAACTTCAAACGACTTTACGCTCCGTTATCTACACCTAACTGATCCCATTTGCCGCAATCTAGAGTGGTTCGCTCCGGTCTCCAGCAACCAGATACCTAGTTCGCTTGATACTCGAGCGAACCACATCAAACTTGTGTATTTTGGTAATTTTTAGTATGTGGTATTCTGGGATTTTTTTTTTTTTACATAAAGTTCAGTATTTTGGGGAAAATCCATATACTTCGAGCGTATGTACGTACCTTTTGTGAAGAATGTCGATGATTCTCCAATAAGCATCGACACCAAACGAAGCGACGGCGATTTGAGTCATGGTTTTAGCATCAGGACCCCATGGGTCGCTGTTTGTTGCTTCCTCAGTCAGCCTGACCACAAAGATGAACATATATAACAATCACGACCAAACTCGTCGTGTCAAAAGATAGAGCATACATTGGCATTGCAGATGCAGAGGGCTCACAATTCTATCGGGGTAACGTCGGTTAGAGCCAGCCTTGCAGTTTTGTACTTGTCTTGAAGGAAAGAACATGCTTGCTTCTTCATCTGGTTTAAGAAAGGGGTTCCCATCTTGATCTTCTCACGAAGCCTGATCTCTGATTACTCGATCACCCATTGTTTGAATGATAATTTAATAGCAAGGGAAAGTCGGAGATGACTCTGGCAATGGCGGTAGCCCTTAATTCTCGCTTGATGGCATATATGTGCGGATAGCCTTTGATTTGGTCTACAAATAGACCAAGCCAAAAATAACCAAATGACAACTGGCGTCTCTCCTGATATCGTCATTTCCCACTCTACCATTGTCATCACCATCTTCCTATCACTTCCACCACCTGAATATACCCAGAACGCAGCCAGGTTCAGCTCAATTCTTTAAACTGCTAGCTTCATTTCTTCCAGTTCAGGCACTGCAACGTCTTCCCTCATCAAACTAGCGCAATCCCCCCCGCTCACCCTTCCACCAGCCTGGGCGAAGAGTTCCACGACCGCGGGCAACATGGCATAATACCTCCGCAGATCATTTGCCATAGGCTCGCGGCTATTGAGATCACGAACGTGCCATACATATACCGGGGGAGCCAAATCATCAACAGTAGCCTCCTGCCATGCATGCTGACCATCCCTCATCTGGTGCTTGAAAGCTTGGCAGTTCCTTACTCTGTGACCCTTGGGTCCAACTTGAATCTCAGGGCAATATCCGCAAGTATGAACAGCATACTCACTTACGAGTTTCCGGATCCCTGATCGCATTACCTCCCATGATTCCATTCCTCGAATCGCAACCTCTGCAGCGGGAAGCAGTAAATGAATAAATACCTATCTGACACATAACACACACCCATGTCCCAAACTCGAGAGAGTCTTGGACAGTTCGAAATATGAAATGGTAAACAAATGAGAAGTCAAGAACTAGGAAGGAAAACCTCCTAAGTTGACATATTTGGCGTCTGCAGGCTCGGTCACGTCAACTGGGTATTTCCTCTTCTCCCAAAAGCCACTAGTATTGATGTCTTTGCCTGGTGTGTCTTCTTCCTTGGGGAACCTGCGCTCGAAATCTATAATTCTACCAGCAACACTATAGGCAGGGAAGGTCCTTCTTCTTGTTGGGTACTCTGGAATGTTGACATCACCTTGGACACACAATTCAACAACTGCCGGAATCCGGTCGACTATGAGCTGCTCATCATGAGACACAGCTCTTCCAAGTCTGTCATACAGATGGAAAGATTCGACTTGAGGCAAAATCTGTTCAACACCTCCCTTCATCCATCTGTGCTCTTTGTTCTTCAGGCTGCCCACTCCGTCACAAGTCCTAATCTTGTGAGGAGTATGGCCTACATGAACTTCTCCACAAACACTGCATAAATAAAGAAGTTGGGATCACACACAAAGAAAACTCTCAGGGGTCATTTGGATCCAGGTTTTTAATTTGTGAGATTTTGGCTCAAATTACTGGTTTAAAAACCCAGGTTTTTAATTTGTGGAATTTGTATGGGATTTTAAAATAACTGATCACCATCAGCTATTTCATAATTCCATAATGGTGGGTTTCTGAAATCTCTAATATTTAAAATCTCTCATCATATAATTGCTTTCCAAATGAGTGATTTTAATAAAATCCCACACTATGTAGGATTGTGCCCAAATCACACACCCAAAACCTGCATCCAAATGACCCCTCAAGGGAAATTCACCCACCATGCATCTGTGAATAATTTTACCTGCAGGAATACAAAGCTAAGGTCTTTGCAACATTTGAGGCGCAACTCAACAATTCAGCTGTGGCGGCATAAACTTGATGAGCAACAGGGATCAATTCTTTGACCAATAGCCCATTCTCAGGCGGCCGCAAGATTTGTTCCCGCGCCGACTGTTTCTCTTCCCTCTCTAGTCTCGCCTTCCGCTTGAGCTCATTCACACTCGTCACCCATGGCTTCCTTTCAGATCTCTTTAGCTTCCTGGGAAGCTCTGTCACAGTTGACACGGAAGAGTGTCTGATAAAAGTGCGCCACAAATTACTTCTCGAAACAAGCCTTGGACTGTACGACATTGTTCTGAAATTTGACTAGCTGCTCACTTCTTTCACTTGAATTTTCACCAAGCTTGAAGTTCTCCTAAGAAGCTAGGTCGATTGAAATCTCCCGCCGGTATGCGATAATTCTCTCGGCTTGACATTTTCACAAACAGCCTCCACGCACTGAAAGAAGCTCCACGTGGAGGGCTCCACCACGCCAAGAAAACCATACAACACATAGCCGTGAAGTCGGTCCAGTTCGGTTGGGGAAGATAACAAATCGCCGGTCTATGCAGGTAAAAAATGAATCACGAGAGAGATTCGAGGGGTTGGTAAGGTAGAAGCTATTTGCAGAGCTATGTGCAGAATTGGGAAAGAGAAGATGAAGAGATGCTGCCCACTCTTCGTCTTGTTTTTCCTTCTCAATTACCTGCGGGCTTGGGTCGCTAATATTTGAGTAGTAAGATTCATGGAAAAACTAAAGCCCAATATATGGATCGAAACTGATTAACTTCGGCACAGTTTAACCGTGCTCTAGGGTTGCGGTTTTGGAATATTTTGGACACGTGATTGGGGCTAGGGTGCAACAGTCCGATTCGAACTAATAGTGACCATGTTGATGTCGAGGTTTTAACCGACGTCGACTTCCTCAATTTTGGCCCCCCAAAGTGATTTGAAGTACCCCTTTATAGTAACCTTCTTTCGTGACGTTGCTTCCGATCGCTTCTTGCAAATAAGAGCCCGTCGGCCGATCTCAGCGGGGGCACCCTCCGACGCTCAAGTTAGTCCTTAGTGTGTGGGATTGAGTAGGTTACAAGGTGTTTGCAGGAGGTGAGCTCGAAGGGTGAGAGTCACTGATTGCAGTGGACGCTCTTAGGGTACTTCCACCGGTCTCTTGCCTTACCTTTCACTAGAGAGAATGAGCTAGTTATATAGTAATTACCAGGGGGGACAACGGGAGGACAGGTGTCGGCGCCGGAGATGTAGGAAAGACACGTCACTGGACATGTGTCGTCTAGGCCCATATGCTCCCGCCACGTGGTTGTACACATGTCAACCATGTTTCTGCCTAAGGGGAACACTCTTGCCATGTGCAAACTGATTGAGTAGAGGGCATGACACATGTGCAGGTAATACACATGCAATGGATCCAGGTGGCGAGAATAGATGTGAATCCAGGTACTGGGAGCAGGGGGCGACACCGGGCCTAGGTGCCGGGAGGAGGGCGAAGCCCGAGAGCGATAGTTGCCTGGGGACAGGGAACCAGCCGAGAGGACAAGACCCGGTGCCGGAACAATTAGGGATGGCAATGGGTCGGGTTTTGCCAAACCCAAACCCATAGGTTTATCCGTGAAAAAACCCGGGGTAAAACCCAATGGGTTTGAAAATATCAAACCCGACCCAACCCAACCCGCTGGGTATCCGCGGGTTCATGGGTACCGACGGGTTTTTATCGTAAAAAATTTACAATAACAAGTTCCTATCAAAATTAAAGTCAAATATCAATCTCTCAATATAAATTATCCATATATAAAACACCATTCTAGAAAATTCAAGCAAATTACAAATTAACTATACAAATTGTTCAACACCAATCTAGAAAATTCAAGAAAATTGAAGCAAATCAAAAATTATCCATAAATAACATGATTAATTGAAACTTCTTCCTTTAAATTAAGTTTCTTCACTCTCCACTCGATAACATCAACTTCATTCTACACAATTAGAAAGAAAAAATTAGGCATTTCTCCACAAACATAAATAAGATTAGTTGTTTAGAATATTAAATATATCGAGAAAATTAATTATATGGGTGTGGGCGGGTACCCATGGGTCGGGTTTACCTAAACCCAAACCCAACCCAACACGGTGAATAGTGAACCGGTTTAAACCCAAACCCGGCCCAAAACCCGTCAACACGGATTTTACCCGTGTTGACCGGGTTGGATCGGGTGGGTACCCGTGGATTCGAGTTTTGTTGCCATCCCTAGGAACAATAGCGGGCCCGGGCGCCAGGAGGCGAGAGGAGCCCAGAAGCAGTATCGGGCCCGGGCGCCGAGCTCCGGACGAGACAAAATGACCGGCGCCGGGAGAAGGGGCAATAGCGGACCTGGGTGCCGGAGGAGGGCAAAGCGCGGGAGCCGGGGTCCAGGAATGATGACGGGCCCGAGCGCCGGGAACTGGACGAGAGGTGAAGGCCCGCTGCTGGGAGCCGGGGCAATGGAGGGCCCGGGTGGTGCCGGGAGGAGAGCGGAGCCCGGGAGCGGGGGTCCGGGAACGATAAAGGGCCCAGGCTCCAGGAGCCGGACGAGAGGTGAAGGCCCGCTGCGGGAGCCGAGGCAATGATGGGCCCGGGTGCCGGGAGGAGGGCGGAGCCCGGGTGCCGCGAGGAGGGCGAAGCCCGAGAGCCGGGCTCGGAGGAAGGAACCCTAATCTTGGGGCAATCGCGAGGCACTGTATGATTTAATGTTGGCGGGCCATGCCACAATTGGGTACTAATTGGAGCTGGACGGGCCTGGCCCAATACTTCACCGGAGAGAGTCGTGGGCTGAGCACGATTGTCGGCCCAGGTGAAATAAAACACTATTTGAGCAAATGGTGAGCTGGTGCTGTAAAAATATTTTTACATTGGGTATATCAATTGCCCCCCTTGCCGGCGAGAATCTGAAGATTCTCGGGGGCAAGCATGGTCTACCCCGTGATTAATACCCAAATTTAATGTTGGGAGTTTATTAGAAGACTATATATCTTTTATATATTTTTTATTCATTGAATGTTGGTGGAAATTGCTTGGGAAGTGCACAAGTCTTGGATTTGGGGAGAGAATTTTCCCTCCTTATGACTTTGGCCTTCACTCTTCTTGATTCGCATGAGCAGAATAGAAGACTGTGCATTTTTCTTGAATTTTGGTCAAAGACCGTTTAGAAAATGCGAAAACCTTGGACCTTTTAGAAGAGAAAGTGTTCTCTTCCATGCTTTCCTCCTCTTTATCCTCCTATAAATAGCATCTTCCTTTCTTCTTCATTCTTCACTTCATTCTTCTCCCAAAGTGCTCCCTTTCATTGAGAGAGAACTTGTTAGTTAGCGAGCGGTGGCAAGGCGAGGGTTAGCTCATAAGCTATTGGAGACTTGATCGCGTCAGGTATGACATCTTCCCCCTCCCCCCTAGCACTATGTAGTATGCTTGCATGTGGGGGGTAGGAGTACTTAGTTTTTTTCTTTTTGTTTCTTCTCCGTCTCAGTTATGGCACATCGGCGGGTGATGTCGAGTCGGGATTCCTCAAGAGGAGGAGTTGTCTCGTCGGAGGAGGATGAGGTTACTTCGAGGGAGGAGATGGCGATCCCGATACAAGTCGTCCCTGCGTTTGAAGGAGGGTGGTTTACTCCTGCACCGTTTACGACCCAGGGTTATGGATAGATACCTCGGTCGACCGAGCCTGTCAGAACGGGAGCTAGGGCGAGATACCGTGTGCGATCCTTGTTTGAGAGTTTCTCGAAGGATGATGTGGCGGGAGATTTGTATCGGGAGGCTGGGCGGACTGAGGACTTAACAAAGAGGATGGTGGAGCTGCAGGATACTCTGGCCTTGTATGGTATGCCAGATCAGTGGGAGTATGCTCTCCCCGGCCATGATGCCAACATTAACTCTTGTGGGTCCGGGTGACATTGCATTTTCTATGAGTCCCTCTCCTACGGGTTTCATGCCCCCTTGCACAAGTGGCTAGGCAAGGTGACGATAGATACTGGCCTGACCATTTGTTCGGTGGCACCCACATTCTGGGCATTCGTGGCAGCGTTTATTTCTCGCTGCAAGGAGAAGGGTATAAACCCTACCGAAGATCTATTCTATGGGTCTTTCAGAATTCGTCATGTTTCCTCGGGCAGTACCTCTTGGGGTTTGGAGCGTCGCTTCTATGGGCCCAAATCCGATCGGTGTTCCCCTTTTGGGTCTGTGATGAAGATAAAACAAAAGGGTTGGTATGATAAGTTTTTCTTCTTCTCCCCTCTGCCAGGAGAGTCCCAGTGGGCAGAGTGAGAGTCCCAGCGGGCGGAGCAGGAAAGTGCCCGTGCAGAGCAGGAGAGCGCCGGGGCAGAGCGCAAATTCAAAAGGGCGGAGCTGGAGAAGAAACGGGCGAGAGAGGATAAGGCAACTCTGGCCCAGGCGAGAGATGCACTTCGGAGGGAGCGTGGGATTTCCCAGAGGCTTAGGATAAAAAGGGATAAGACTTGGAGAACTATGAAGAAGGCGTTTTCCCGACTGTACTGTTTCTCCCAGGACATAGTCAATGAGATGCACCCCGGGGCCCCTCTTAGCGAGGCAGACCTCAAGAGGAGAATGGCTGAGCGAGTGGCCGCAGCGGCGGAAGCGGAGAGAGAGGCTGGATATGTTGTTGATGCCCCGAGTATGTTGGAGGGGAGGATGACCAGACTGAAGAATCCCAAATTTCCTTGGGCATAATGGATGATGCTGCGGTTGACGACTTGGAGAATTTCACCGGGAACTATATGTCCGACCTCCATATTCCTGTGATTACGGATGACAATGGGTCGGGTCGGGGACGGATAGTGCATATCAGTTACCCTACCCAAAGTAGTTTGGGTTTTACCCATACCCGCATAAGAAACGAGTAGAAAATTCAAACCATGCCCATACCCGTTCGGGTTTCGGGTATCCACGGTTATCCATAGGTAATAGGTTTTCTTTATAACTCCAACCAATATGTTAATATTCACACGTATTCTCACGTTACGTAAGACGAAAAGTACAACAATAATTCACTAGAATGAAGAAAATTAATTAAAAAACACAATTTCATAAACATTTTATATTTATATGCTAAAAATATGTTAGAGAAAAATATTGATTATTTCTAGACAAAATACATATGCATTACCCGATTACCCAGTTCGGGTTCGGATAGTGAGAAAACCATGCCCACCATTACCCTCAATATTCGGTTTTGGGTTTTACCCGTACCCACTAAAAGTCCTTCGGGTTCGGGTTTTACCCTACCCGATTAGATCGGATTCGGGTTTTACCCTACCCGATTAGATCGGATTCGGGCGGATATCCACAGTTACGGATATTTTTGCCATCCCTACCCGGGATCCCACTTTACTCGGGAACACCGCCTGGTTTTGGTCACGCCGCCGGACCGAGCTCCGCCTTGGGCCCCGACCCTCCGACGGGGGCTTGAGTCGTGGTAGTCGGCTTCCTTTGTTTTCTTTAGTTGTTGTTTCATGCATACTTTGTTGCTTTTCATATCAATTTGGAATTTTCGATGTAATCCACGAACCATGCACTTTTATTATTATAAACTTTGCTAAGTGCGAGTGCTTTTATTACATGGGTGTGAAATACCTACGTAGGTGCATGGTGTTCCAGGTTTTTGACATGTCTTCACCGTCGGCATCTTCTAGCTT